GCTACCAGGGGAATACCAAATTTATTTTTGATGAGAGATCCTAGAAAAGGACAGATAAGTGGAATCCTGAAGTACACAACCTGGGGACATTTATTTCATTAAAACAGCATCTCTTATAAGAGCAGTATGAGAAAATGAAAGACTTAGTACTAAGTTTGATGCTAGTGATTGACCTAAAATACAATGGTTTAAGAATTATAAACCATCACAGTGTATCTCTCTCCAGGTCACCCTTGCACTGGAGGGGTGGTGGCCTGGGGATGGCTGGCCCAGGCCCCGAAGTCAAGGTCCTCTGGGTGGCTGGCCAAGCATGTGTGGGCCTGGAGGAGCATTGGGTGATCACAGGTTCCATGAGGTGGCTGGCTGCTGTGGACAATGGTAGACCCTGGGGTGGCCTGAAAGAAGGGAGGAGAACCTAGAGATGAGGCCACGCCCCAGCAGACTCTGTGGGCCAGAAGCCTGGATGCTCACATACAGTGGACCCTCGACTAAGGAACTCTATTCATTCCGCCGGGCTGCTTGTAATTCATCCATCAATTGAAGGCTCAGGCTCCTCTCCACAGCCTTCAAAGTCTCTTTCCTGTACACAGGCAGATCTCAGTGTCCTTAGAGAGACACTGGCCCAGGATTTCTTAATGAACCCCCCACAGGAAAGGATGTTGTCATGTTGTTTCCAGAACTCTTTAAGGGTTAAATCTGTATATGAGACCATCTGAAAGCACAAGCAGCCAGCATTCAAGTCGTAATTCAAGACTTTGGTCGTAAGTTAAAACTAAAATTCCAGTCATAACCCAAGTTGTTCGTATGTCAGACCAGTCGTAACTCTAGGGTCCACTTACAGAATGGCATGCTCAACTGTACAGTTAATTCTTCATCACATTAATGTGTTTCCCCCACTGCCAGAATCCAGTACAGGAAGGTGCAGGTCTGAGACTTCAGGGATTAAGTGCAAGCCTTAATCATCTTCAGGAACCGAGGGATCTGGCATTTCCTGACTTCATCCCACAAGCATTTGGTGTACTTTGCTGCATGCCAGGCTCTCCCCGGATGTCCCTTCCTTGTATGTGCTCATCCAGCATCCTACTCACAGGAGACCCCTACTGTATGCTCTGTGTTCTTAGACTTGGCCCCAAGGAGACCCTGCACTGCACCCCCAGAGCCTGGAAGACACAGGGAGCACACAGTCTCCAGTGGGGTGATGGGGGAGCAGAAGGGGTGAGCTCCAGGCCTCAGAGACGCTGGGTCCTGAGTGCTGGTGCCCTGACATGCTCAGGAGGCCCTGGAGCTTCCCTGGGCATGTGCCTCAGAGGAGGGGACACAGGGCGGCCTCTGGGCCTGGGGAAGCAAGGCAGAGGCCAGTGGAGAAGACTTGGGGGTGATCACAGTTGGGTTCCCTGTGTTGGTTGGGGGAACAGCTATAGGCATTCAGGGCCTCTGGGGTAACTTGGATCCTGACACCTAGGGCAGGGGACAGCAAAAGGCAGGATGGGGGCCTTGCTGGAGGGCAGGCATGGGGAGGCAGGGTCTTCGTGGAGGGAGTGTCTGAGCCAGCAGGACTGCTGCATTCTGAGCTGCTGTTGCCAGCATCCTGTGCAGAGGCGGCAGATGTGTGAGGCGCTGGTGGGGTGCAGGCCTACCTTGGGTTGGTGATGTTGGAAGTGACACTAGGGTGAGTGTGCAGGACTCTGGAGATGGTTGGGGAGGGTTGAGGGGCACAAGGGGCAAGGACAGGGGTGGTTCCGAGACCTAGGCCTGCACGGATGAGGGACCTCATGCTGTGTGGGGGACCCCGAGGGGAACTGGCTTGTCAGCAGCAAGGCCTGGCCTTGAGGTGCTCGAGACAGCCAGGGGAGAGGGCTTGGCCGTTGGGGAGGTGGGGGGCTGCACCCCCTCTCCTGGTCAAATAGGATGAGAGTAGCTAGGCAGGGGGCCCAGCCCTGAGGAAGGGGACCTGGGCCTGGAGAGCCACCGAGTGGAAGGGGTATCCTCAGGGAACACTGCAGTCTCAGGAGACTGTGTTTGCAGAGGCCAGAAGGTGCCATGGTTGCAATTCTGACACAAACACAGGAGGCCACTGTGGTGGATTAAGTCTCTGTCTGCACAGAGTGCAGCCTCATTGGGAAGTAGGGTCTTTCTGGGTGTAGTGAGTTCGAGTGCTTGAGGTGAAATCATCATGGACTTAGGATGGAGCCTCAAGTCCAGTGGCTGGTGTCCTCGTAGGAGAAAGGACAGGGGGTTTGACACCCAGGCAAGATGGCCACGGTGAGGCAGAGTGTGACAGAGTGACAGGGCCACCAGCCAAGGACGTGGGAAGCCACTGCCCTGTCCTCCCGGAGCCCCCCTTGAGCTCCGACTCTGGCTGCAGAACTATGAGAGGTACGTGTCTGTGGTTCTATGGCCCTGTTTTCTGTTTTTTGGTTTTGTTTTTGTTTGGTACCGGGGATCGAACTCAGGTCCTTGTGCTTATGCAGCAGGAGGTGAAACCACTGAGCTAAATCCCCGGCCCTCTACGGCCCTGGTTTGTGGCCATCTGTCTTGGCACCCAGGACACAGATGGGCTCCTTACCAGAAATGAGAGAAAGAAGCAGGCCACATCTTCATTCTCACGAGACTTGAGGGACAGGATCGCTCGCTGTTGGGGTCAGTGTGACCTTTCTGTGGGATGCGTCAAAGGCAGCTGAGGATCCACTGTCCCTCCATAGGACCCCCAGGAGTGGGTTTGTCGCCTTCCTTTCCAAGGTGGCCTGAGACCCCAGCGGGAGCCGGGCATGCAGTGCGGGTTCCAGTCCAGCCCAGCAGCATGGAGGAGAGCTATCCTCCCTGGCCAGCCTCCTTCCTCGGGCTTTAGACGGGAAATCCTGGGCCCTCGGACAGGAAGTGGCCCAGCACTCAAGTGCAAGGTCTGAGGGTGCCATGTCACGATCTCTGGCCAGGGTGAGACTAGAAAGCACAGGCTGGTGGGGTATGGGCTGGGCCTGCCTTGCACCCAGGAAGTTTGAGCAGGAGCATGGCCTCCAAGCTCTGGGGCTCCTGGGAAGATGCAGCAGGGCTGCCGGGGCCTCTGTCCTTGCAGCTGGTGCGCATGGAACTCACAGGTCCTCTGGTCCTCTCAGGGTGATTTTATTTTCCAGGAAGGGCTGGGCTTGGCTGCCAACTGGCTAACCTGGCCTGCTGTGCACACACTTGCAGATGCCTCCTAGCTTTTGAGCAGGCATGAGAGAATTTGACAAGGCTGAAGGAAGAGAAATACATCTTAGGCTACAGGCTTCAAATTAATGCAGGGAATTTACAAGTGCTGCATACTGCCAAGCAGGAAACAGGAGTACCCACCTGCACATATGAGTGTGCATGCATGTGTGTGTGTGCATGTGAGAGTGTGCCTGTGTGAGTGTCGGTGTGTATGTTTGTATGTGCACGGATGTAGGTATATGGCTGAGTTTCAGGTGTGAGTGTGGAGGTGTGGGTGTGTGAACCTGTGCATGAGGATGAGTCCACACCTGAGACCGTGGGTATGTCCACGTGTGGGAGTGTGTGCTACAGTGCAAGTAGGTGGGAGCAGATCTGTGTACAAATGTGGGGGTGCGGATGTGTGCATGCCTGGGGTCCCCTTGGTCAGCCCGATGTGTGCTGGGCAAGGCTGGGCAGCACCAAGAGAGAGGGGACACTTCGCCTGGTCAGAAGCTCCGCTTGTTTCTGGTGATTGTCACAGGGATTCAAATCAGGCCCTTCTGCTCCTCAAAAATGGGGGTGCTGGAGGTGTGCCCCTGGGTGTCAGGGGGACCCCGAGACCTGCTGAGACTCAGCTTGGGAGCAGCCTCCCCGAAACACAGAGGCGCTGTGGCAAGAGGCTCCCCTGAGCCAAGCGGGGGCTGGTGGCCTGGCCTGGCCCTCAAGGACACCAGTGCTGGGCCTGCTGTGCCACCTGGCCCTAGCCCTGCGACGAGGGCACTGTCATGGCATATGTGGAAGCTTCTGGGGCTGGGTGACCACTGGGGGGTGTCTGAGTGCAGCATCTCTGCTGTGAGCCAGTAGCACCCCAGACCCTCAGTCCTGCTGGGGTACTGGGGTCCACTCACTGCATCTGATTTCTTTTGACGGTAGAGTCTGACGTCCTCCTTTTCCCACCTGTTGCCTTGCATGAGTCCACTGTGGGGTGAATGTTCACAACCCACCCAGCTTTGGATATTGAAGCCTCAGTTTCCAACGTGACCTCATTCTTGGGGAGGTGATGAAGGTTGAGTGAGGTGTGTGGGTGGAGCCATGGCGGGATCCACCCATCTCTGTCCTTCCAAGGAGAGCCGGGGAGCCAGCAGTGCTGGCCTGGGGCGCTGGAGAGAGGCAGCTGGTGTCCCTCCCTGGCCATTGCCCTGGGAAGCTTAAGCCTCCCACCACGGGCTGGATCAGGCTTTGGGGAAGGGCCACTGCGTAGCGCTGCCTCCCCCAGGGGACCCATAGTGGAGGGACAGATGTGACCACAGGCGAGTTGGGATCACAGCTGTGCAGAGTCAGCATGGAGGCAGCAGGTACGGAGGCCCTGATGGAACATTTCCGGCCCAGGGTGCTTTCTGTAGCCAGCAGTCACCCAGCAGGGGGATGTGGAGGGGCAGGAGACCTTCCCGTCTCAGCCTGAGCAGTCCCATTGTCGGGGAGAGGCTGCTCAGCTTGTGCAAAGTTTGGGGTCAGATCCTGCACATGTCTCCTGGTGTTTGCGGATCTGGTGGGCCAGAGATTTGGTCCCCTGACACTCAGTGGGGGAGAACTCCAAGGGGAGGGGAGGCAACCCAGTGGCCCAGCCCCCAGGCCACCAGAAGGTGCTGCCCTCCCCATTGTACGTGACTGCCAGGTCTGCCAAGGCCCAGGGGCTGCGGAGGCCACATGGTGTCGTGGCCTGGGGGCCGGGTCCTCTTTTTCCTCCTGCAGCCGATAGTGTAGTTTAGTGGCTTGCGGTGGCCCAGTGGCTCCCCCTGGCCTCCGTGTCACCTCTCGTCTTTGTCCCCCAGGGGAGCACTGCCAGGTGAACGCCCGCTCCGGCCGCTGTGCCAATGGCGTGTGCAAGAACGGAGGCACCTGCGTGAACCTGCTCATCGGCGGCTTCCACTGCGTGTGCCCCCCAGGCGAGTTCGAGCGGCCCTACTGTGAGGTCAGCACGCGGAGCTTCCCGCCTCAGTCCTTCGTCACCTTCCGCGGCCTGCGCCAGCGGTTCCACTTCACTGTCTCGCTCGCGTAAGTGTGCGTGCCCCATCCACGCGGGTCCCTCATGGGGCTCACACAGGCTGGCTTCTCCTTCCTCTGGGTCGCAGCGTAGGTGTCCTCTGCAGGTGGTCTTTGGTGGTCGGGTGGCTCTGGTAGGTGCTGGCTTCAGTGGAGCAGTCCGGGGGCCCCAGGCTGTGTAGCAGGGGGTGAGAATTTCAACTGTAGCAGTGGACAGGGAGGAGGTGAGGGCTCTTGTGTGCCTGAGGCAACTGTGGGTGGCCCAGCATTCCTGAGGAGGCCAGAGGCGTGGGAAAGGGACTCTGAGTCAAGAGAAAATCTCCCGGCCATCACTGGGCCATCTACCTGGTCCTCCTTTCACCACGAGGATGCAGGCTGACTGTGTGCTGTGGTTATTTTATTTTCACCTTTCTCCTTCCCAGAAAATTAGATTTAATTGAACTTTTTAAATCAACTGTAATCTGAGCACTCAGGAGGCTGAACAGGAAGATTACCGCAAGTTCGAAGCCAGCCTAGTGAGTTGAAGGGCAGCCTGTACTGCATAGCAAGACCTGACTCAAACAAGCAAAGAAACAAAATTTTCCAGTTTAAAGTCTTCCGTCCCGTGTGAGTTAGCAGGATAAAGTAGATCTCTACTCAGTGGCCTGGCCAGTGCTTGGGTGGTTCTCCAGCTACCGCAGTGTCCTATAGGAGCTCCCTGTCCTCTGTCCTCCTTGGAGCGGTCACCTCCCCAGCGTTGCCCCAGCTCATCATTCTGCCCACTGAGCACCAAGTCCTGCTCTGCACAGGGGATGCTGCCGTGGACCCCCGATCTCTCTGTGCCCCCTGCAGCTTCTGTGAGTGTCACCCACCTCTGTGGAAAGAGCCCACGTCTCCTAGCAAGCACTCGGCAGCATGTGACAGGCATGAGTTTGGGGTGTGTGATTCTGGCCTGTTTGTGCCCATGGTCACCAGGCACGTGGGTGTGGTGGCAGCCCATAGTCATGTGCATTCCGATGACCAGTAGTGCAGCTCCGCTCCAGGAGTCGACTCAAAGGGTGACCAGAAGTCCTGGTGCCAGAGGGTGATGGGTAGCCTGTGAAAGTGCTGGAAGTCGCCAAGGGAAGCCTGCTGGCTCCCGACGCAGAGAAAGCAAGTGGAAAATAGTAATGTCTGCCAGTTACAGTTACAGTGGTGCACACCTGTCATCCAGCACTCTGGGACGCTGAGGCGGGAAGATCAGAAGTTCAAACCCAGCCTGGACAAATTAGCAAGATCCTGTCTCAAAATTAAAAAAAAGAAAAAAAAAAAGAAAAAATTAAAATGGGCTTGAGCAGTAGCTCTGTGTGAAAGCCCTGGGTTCATCCCCCAGTATTGAAAGGAAAACAAAAATGGTAACGCTTAGATAGGTGTCTGAACAATGCAACACGACAGGCTCACCTGTCACGTCAAGTTTTCCTAGGGTTCTTTGATGCGGTGAGAATTTACAGGCCACTTTGTGCCCGACTGACTTCAAAGGCCAAACCATGACCAGTCCTCCCAGACTTTCTCGGGGGAGCCAGCGTACCCCTGGGCAGTAGTTGCTGGGGGGCAGGTGCCCCAGGAGCTGCTAAAGGCTCTCGCCCCAAACTGAGCTAGTGCTCTGCAGGGCTGGTGGCTCTGGCTGCATAGCCTTGTCTCAGGTGGCTCCCTTCCCAGCCCTTCTCCTCTTTCCAGTTTCTGTTTGCAGAGTGCGGGCTGCAGAGCGGCCGGGCAGGTGGGCTCGGTGCCCAGCACCTCTTATTCCCCACTTTGTTCTTTCCTCCTGCTGCCCTGGGTCCCTCCAGCCTCGGCTTCTGTTTCCTGCCTCCCCTCCCTGGGCCCACTGTGTTCCTCTGTTCCCAGCAGTGGCACGCGCTCCCTCCCACCTGGGTCTACAGAGAGCCGCGGACACCGTCTGCATCCTGGAGCCTGCAAGGAGCCGAGTGGGCCTGGCCTTGCTCCGGAGCCCCCTTCCCGTTCGCACACCACGCCTGAAGACCCAGTTAGTGTGTGCTGATGGTGCTGGGGGTCTGTCTTCAGCCCCAGGCTCTGTGCCGCAGGACAGAGGTCTGGGTGGGACCTGTGGGTTTGTGACCTTGGGGGGAAAAGGCCAAGGTGAGCTGCATGAGCCTGGCTCCCACTGACCTGATGCAGTGAGACGTCACAGGAGGATCCTCGTAATCTCTGTAATGTTCATTCTGGGAGCTCCAGGTCCCTGGAACTGGGGGTGTTGGGGACGCTTAGTGTTCCAGGGGGTCTGAAGACCCCATCAGGACCATGACAGGGAAGGAGAAGGGTTTCCGAGTGGCAGGTGGCCTTTGTCAGAGGAAGTGGCTTTTTTGGTTTTTGACTGCTTAAAGCTCTGGCAGTTCTGCTCTTCACATTCACGCCTTCGTCGGTACGTTCAGCCGGACCCGGCTCTGGGCTCCAGGATGCAGTAGCAAGAGCCCCAGTCCCTCTCTTTAGCATCATTCTTTCTTATGAACAAATGCGGATTGCAGGATAATTTCAGAAAGAAATCTAAAATGTAGCAAGCTGACAGGGCAGGGGTGCAGTTCGGCTGTAGTGAGTCAGGGAGGTGCAGTTGCATGGCTCCTGAGGGTCTGCACACCAGGGAAGATTATAACTGCAGAGGGAGTGCCAAGTGCAGAGGTCCTGAGGTCTTTATAACCTGTGTTTGGGAGCCAAAAGGCAGTGGTTTGGCTGGAGTGGGATGGTGGGTTCAAGGGGAGGCCCCAGATGGTTCTTCTGCACCAGCATCCCTGAGTGAGCGGGTGCCATGTCCCTGTGCCCTGGTGTCCATACATGGGCATGTTTCCAGGAGGAGAATTCTCGCTGCCCCAGAGCATCTGTGGTTGGTTTATCTGCTGTGTGTCATCTTTCTCAATCCTTGTCCACTGATAGTCGGTCACATTCTACAGGCAGTTGTCACTAAAGTCCTGCAGGGCTTCCAGTTTGTTAATCAGATCAATTCCCCACATTAAGAAAGTGCCAGGACCAGAATCTTTGCTGAACCGGGACAGCATCCACCTTCCTTGCCTGGCCACCTCGCCTCGGGATGACCTGGCGGCCCGGGGTCCTCATGTGACCAGCTCCGGCTTACCCCCCAGGTTCGCCACACAGGAGCGGAATGCCCTGCTGCTCTACAACGGCCGCTTCAATGAGAAGCATGACTTCATTGCGCTGGAGGTCGTGGGCGAGCAGGTGCAGCTCACCTTCTCCGCAGGTAGGGCCCTGTCGGCACTGTGCCTGTGCTCACTCCGCCCCACCGACCCTCTGAACCCCAGTTCTGTGCCTCGGATTGCCCTGGGAGGATCCGGAGCACCTGGAGCCATTCACTGCAGTGTTGTTTACAGTGCTGAGGAGAGGAGACAGCTCCTGTTTCCCAAACTGGGGAATCACTGCCTAAATTAGTGTGGGTGGCTAGAGAGTGATTTTCTTTTTCAGTACTGGGGGTGGAGCCCAGGACCCTGTGCATGTTAGAAAGTGCTCCACCCTTGAGCCTCAGCCCTGGGGCTGAGGATTGAAAATTCGGAGAAGACCATGAAGATCTTACCCTGGCTGATAACAGACTGCTTAGCAGATATGCAGAGGGCCTTCAGCCTCTGGTCTGTGTTTCCCTCGCACTATGAGGTGCTAGCTTTCTGTCACTGGGAAAAAGCATGGGGATAAACAGTGCATGAGAGGAGAGAGTTGGATCGGCTCACGGTTTTCCAAGCTCTGGGCCCGGGGTGAGGCAATGCAGGGCCTCATGCAGCCAGGAGCAAAGGGTAGGAGGGGCCAGGTCCCAGTATCCCCTCCAGGGACGGCCACCCAGCGACCCCGCTTCCTCCACCAGGCCCCAGCTCCTAAAGGGCCACTGCCACCCAGTGGCACCGTGGGCTGGACCTTGGGGGACACTTTCGCCCCACGCTGTAGCAGTGATTTTAGGGGTGAGTGAGGCCCACTCTTCCATTACGGGATGTTCAGCCAGGCGATAGGGAGGTCCTGTCCCTGGATCCTGCCCCTGTGGACCTCATGTGTATAATAGCAGCAGCCGGTCTGGGTTTCCTACCTGGCATGGAGAGATGGCAGCACTGTGACACCAGCTGACCATGTTGGGAGAGGCAACCCTGGCTTGCCAGGCCCGGGAGGGGACACTGCGTTCCCCCTGCATTCTTGGATGTCTCACTGGGGATGGTGTCCCTGCTGGGACCAGGCACTGGGGACCCTGTCCTCTCGTGCATGTGGAGTGACTCCCTTTGCCCTGCTTACCAAGGACTGTGTGCGGGACCCTCAAGGAGGTTCCAGAAATGCAGATTCCCAGCACCACCCTGGCCCATGGGAGCAGGATCTCCTGGGGAGAGTGCCGTAAACACCCCAAACCAAGACACACAAGTCGGGTGCACTAGGACCTTACCATGTAGCCTACTGTGTTGTGCACTTTAAAAAGCCAGGCCCAGTGGTGCAGCCTGTAATCCCAGCACTCTGGGGGGCTGAGACAGGAAGATCACGAATTTGAGCCTAACCTGGGTAACTTAGTGCCCTGTCTTAAAAAATAAAAAAAGGCTGGGGATGTAGCTCAGTGTGAAGGTCCTGGTTCATTCCCTAGCACTGCAATCAAAAAAATTAAAATAAAGACAGTAAAGATGAGGGAGAGGTTGGATAGCACGTTACGTGACCCAGAAAGAAGCAGGATTTGGCACAGGTTTTGGTGCTGGCATCCAGGTGGGCTCCTTGCACAGGGAGGGTGCATGCCACCCTGATGAGTGTCCCTTCTTTGCACTGTTTTACACTTTTCACATTTAAAAAACATGAACAAGAATGACTTTCGTAATCAACAAAACAAAGCTGAGCAGTGGCCGTGAGGGGAGCTGTGCCCCGGTGCGCGGGTGCCCAGGTGCCCAGGTGCCCGGGATTTGCTCCAGTGTGGGGGGCGATGCCTGCCCAGCCTGGGCCATGGTGGGCTGTGCCCTCGCTGTGGGCGGGGCCTCCATAGGTACCTAACAGAGGGGAGGGACCACAGCCCCTTCCGTCCTGCAGCACCTCCCTGAGCTTCCCGCTTACCGCACCCTTTGTGCCTTCCTCCCACGCAGGCGAGTCCACGACCACTGTGACGCCGCAGGTCCCCGGGGGTGTGAGTGACGGGCGCTGGCACTCGGTGCAGGTCCAGTACTACAACAAGGTAGGCTGGCGTCTTGAGCCTCCCACCCTGGGGCAGCACGGGGCCCTGGTAACTTCCGTACTGGGACATTTATACTGTGTAGTTCAAATCCACCTCCTGTGAGAGGCCACTTGGGGCACAAGGGGGCCTAGAAATCCCCTGCACCGGGCTGGGAACCAGACGTCTGCAGCTACCACAGCTGGAGTCATCCCTAGGGAGGATGCCAGGCCATCCATGCTGTGTCCAGCCGTCCCTGGGGAAGGGGCTTTGTGGGCCACTTCTCCTTGGGGTTCATCAGCCGATAAGGGAGTGAGCTCTGGATTTGGCATCGAGAGGCCCTGCCCCATTTCCCTTCCTGAGAAGCTCCAGTCCCAGGGGTCAGCACGGGACTCCCCCACCCCTCGCTGGGCCTAGCTTTACCCCAACCTCAGCCCAGGGCATCTGCACGGCTAGACCAGCAGGCAGGACCGCCTCCGTGAGGACTGCACCTCAGGAAGCGCATTTCCTGAGTGACAACATGGGCAGGGGACACACCTACCTCAGCCTGGGCCCGAGGACACAGGGCGGGCCTTGCCGGTCAGCACTGCCACTCTGCCTCCAGAGCTGCCCCACCTCTGCCCTGAATTGCCTGCTGCCCCCGTGGCCCCAACAGGCTGCAGGAAGCCACGATGACCACTGTTGTCCTCCTGTGTCCCCGCCAGGGGTGGATGCTGTCCAGTGGCCCAGGCAGTGTGGGTGCTGAGGCCTTGTGGCCAAGGCAGGGGAGGTGCAGGGTGGGGGGCTGCATACTCCTGGAGACTGAGAAGCGGCGGGAAAGTGGCTGGGCGCTGGTGAGGGGCAGGCGCTGCCGTGGCAAGGTTCTTTCCAGCTGTGGGGCATGGTTGGCAGGGCATGTTCAGCTGATGAGTGCAGGGAGAGAAGCTCCACCTTCTGTGCCTGGCTGTCCTTGTGCTATTTAGGAGACTCCAGTCTGGGCAGGAAGGGGCAGCCTCGTGGCTTTTGGGGCAGTGCCACCTACGTGAAGGGGGGGCCACCTGCCTGCCCTGTGTGCCCCCATCCCCGGGGCTCAGGGTGGGACCTACAGTCTGGTTTTTTTCTTTCCACCCCGTCCAGATGTGTGAGACACGTCTTCTGCAGTGGCTCTCTTCCCCGTTTCAGCTGCTCTGGAGAACAGGTTCCCCGCTTTTGGGTCCCTCTGGACTCTCCTTGTGAATTTTCTACCCCGTGACCGACTCTTTCGGTTGGATGGTTCCCACCATCTCTCCATGCAGCACCCAAGGGACAACCACTTTCTCTGGGCATGTAGAAGGGCCACCAGCTCCTGTGCCTTGGGAGGACAGGGCCAGTCCTATGTCCCTTTGTGTCCTCTGGCGAGGGCCTCAGTCCCCCTGAGCGCAATGACTGCTCTGTCTGTTGTTAGGGCTCAGCTCTGCCCCAGTGAACAACCTAGACAGATGGCGAGGCAGCCTCAAGTGCTCTGTCCACACTGGACGCTTCCCTGGGCTGGCAGAATGACAGGGACTCGTACAAGCAACAGAGTGACACGAAGACTGAGCTCCAGCCCGAGGGCCAGGAAGGGGTCCATGGTCTTGTGATCCAGATGGGTCCTGGCTTTTGTCCTGATGTTACACTAGCTCTTGAAGGAAAACTGACCCCCAGGAAGGATGCTCTTGTCACCTCAGAGCCCCTGGCTCAGGGGCCACAGGTGGGCACTGCCAGCAGGCTGAGCACCTAGCAGGGTACAGGCCATGGGGACAGGTGGAGGGGACACTGGGACTGACTGTGTTGTTAGGTTTATGACAGCAGGTGCAGGCTTTCTGCTGGGGGTGGGTGGCAGGTGAGGGAGGTGGTGTCAGCCTGGGCCTTCCCTCCAGAGACAGCAGCAGCAGCAGCGTGTCCCTCGGCTGAGTTGGGGTGCAGATCTCTGCCCAGGTGCTGCATCACATCCTTCACTTGGACCCCAGGCGCATCAGCAGGGGGTCTGCCTTCCCTCTCCACCTCCAAGGTTTCTCAGAGACATGAGTTCACCACACGGTGGCCACCAGGAAGTCCCAGGGGCCAGAGGGGCCAGTGGGAGATCAGCAGGTGGGGGGAGGATCCCTGGAACCCACACTTCCATTTCCAGGGCTGGATCCTGTGGGCATGGAGCGAATGCCTGAGGGCAGGATGAGGCCCCGCCTCCACAGAGCCAGCCAACCAGTTTGCTTCCTCCCGAGCCCTGGGCTTCCGTGCTGTGCAGGGACCAGTGGCAGAGATGACCGGCCTCTGCCTGCAGGAAGGCAGGGCTGTCTGTGTGGCTTCTGTCTCAGGGGGGCTCTGACAAATTCAGGAGCAGGACGCCCCTTGTTGCTGGGGCTGCCTGGCCCAGCAGGACTTGGAAGCACGTGGTTCCCAGGGAAGGAGGGAGGTGGCTGGCCCCAAGTCTGGACGTGCCCGAGGGACGAGCTCGGGTCGCCTTCCTTGTGAGGGTCTCTGTAGTGCCATCAAGGCCGTCTCTGACCTCGGAAGATGACAGATGAGGGAGGAGGAGGAGGAGGCGTTAGTGCGAGATAGTTTGCCGAGGATTGGCCAGGGCTCGGGGCTGGGCCTGACTTCTCCCGAGGGCTGAGGGGTGACCCTCACGGCCCTCTGCCCTAAGCACACCCACTCCCCAGAGCCTCTTCCCTCCTGATCGCCCCATCTACTCTGCACCCCGCCTGCACTGGCATTCTTGGATTATTAAGCAAATATGTTGGAGAAATTGAGCATCCAACCTTCAGGGGAGGGTGGAGACACTGGTGGTGGGGTGTCTCTCCCTGCGTCTCACTGCCTGATGCTCCTCCTACCCCAGAGGCTTCTGCCCTTTCCATCTACCCGAGACCACCAGGCACGCACTGGAGCCACTGGAGCCGTGTGTGTGTGTGTGTGTGTGTGTGTGTGTGTGTGTGTGCGCACGCGTGCACGCACTTCAGGGAGCACTCGGGAACCTCCTCCATCTGCTGGCCCATGGGGACTTCAGCGCTGCCCAGCTGGCTGATGGTCAGGGTCTCCCAGGAAGCAGATGGAGCACAGACAGCATGATCCCAGGAGGGCAGCTACAAAGGCCAGGCCAGGTGTGGGGAATGGGGTGGGGCTGAGGACAGAGGCCCACAGTCCTACAGACCAGGGAGAGAGCACGGAATGGAACCGAGGAGAGTCTGGAAGCCACTAGAGGAACAGTGACTTTGGTCAGGGATGTAGCCAGCCTGCTGCCCTCCCTCTCACTTCCTCTTGGGCTCCCCATTGCCTGAAGCTGGCAGAGGCCAGGGAACCCCTCCCCAAGCCCCCAAGGCAGGAATCAGGCACAAACCCTAAACAAAACAAGATCTGTTGGTCTGATTCACGTCTGGCAAAACCGCAGAACATTGGTGTTGGATGCACTCTTCCGGGAAGGTCTGGAAGGCTGAGGTCGCTCTGCCCTGGCCAGCGCCCCTCCCCTCAGAGCCCAAACACGCCCCACCCCAGTGGGCCCAACGGGATGCCTGAAGTCACTTCCTCTCGGAGACCTGCATTTTCCCTGAGGCTTCATGCGAAACGCTTAAATGTTTCCACCGGCAGCACCTGTGGAAATACTTGGTGGGAAGCCTTCTGAGGTTGTTTCTTCATACCTGAAGCTCAGGTTCTGCTGTTGGGGTTCTGTGAAGTTTGCCCTACTGTCCCGTCTGCGTTCATGGGACAGGAGAGGCTTGTTCCTGTGGAGACGGCTCTGATGTGGACGCATCACTGCTTTTCTGGGGGGTGGAGGGGATGGGCACACATGGATGGAAGGACAGGGCCCTCTGTGCCGTCACTGGACAGCTGTTCCTCATAGAGCAGTGCTCGCGGCCATCTGCAGGGGTCCCATCTGCACCCCTTGCCTTGCTGGGGAACCTCAGTGGCTAAGGGCACTAATGTGTCAGCAAGGAACTCTGAGGACCTCAGGGGATGGTGACAGTTCCTGCCCACTTCAGCCAGGACATCAGGTTGCCCCTCCCAGAGGCAGGACACTCTCTTGGCCACCGGAGCCTGTGTGGCCTGGGATGCATGGCTGTGTCAGGGTGGGTAGTGTGCCTCACTTGACACACCAGGCAGCGTGGCCACCAGAGACACGGGACACATGCAGAGTGGGAGTGGGCAGGGCCAGGGCTAAGGGTCTGGGACAGTGCACGGAGGAGGGGAGGCGGGCGTGCAGGCATCTCCATCTGGGTGCTGCTGAGGTTTGGGGCTGACTGCTTTGTATGGGGGGCTTGTCCTGCGAGGCCATCCCTGGCCACCTATGTGCCAGTCACAGTGCAAGCAGAATATCTGCAGTCACTGCCAGATGTCCCCTGAGGGAGGATTGTCCCCACAGGACATGGGGAGGAGCGATAGATAGGTCAGCTGGGGGAACTGGGGTGGCCTGGGGTGCAGGGTGGAGCGGCGCAGGGTGGAGCGGCATGGTTGTCTTCAGGGGCGCCTGACCTGGGGACACGGCTCTGTGGCTGTGAAGCCCATGAGAGCTGCTGAAAGAGGCCATGGCACCCCTCACATGGGGCTGCCGGAGGGGTCTTGACCGCCCTGGCTGGGGTTCACATCCTCTGCTGTCCACGTGGTTCCAAACCTCCCAGGTGTGCCTGAGCTGCATATGAACCCCCAGATCCTGCTCGCCCTGCACCCCACCTGCCCTGCACCCTGTTCATTCATTCATCAAATGTTCATGGACTCTGCTGCATATGCACCAGAAAAAGAATTAAAAACCTCTCACCCTCTGGGGGCCCGTGTTTCCAGGGCAGGGAGGGCGAGGGGGGTTGGTCCTCACAGATGGCACTGTCCAGCTGTCCTCGCCTGGTGGGGGAGATGGAAGGAGCCGAAGGGGCCGAATGTGAAGAGAGCACACCCCTGCCCAGCCCCAGCCCCCAGGGTGGAGCACAGACTGCAGTTGGCAGGAGCTGTGACGTTCCATCCGGTGCTGGGCCATAGGGCAGTGGAGGCATTGTAGTGGCCCTTTGGGCAGCAGTGTGGTGTACAGTGTGTATGTTTGGGAG